GCCGCAGGGCCCCTCCCAGACGGTGATCCAGTACGAGGGGGGGGAGGTGTGTCTGCTCTGGGACGACGGTGAGTCGGGCAGGGGGTATCGGGGGTCCCGGTGCCCGGGAGCTGCCCCTCACGCCCTCCGCTCTCCCGCCAGGCCCCAGGCTGGAGGATTTCTACCAACTGGGGGATGATGACGAGGACGAGTCCGACACAGATTACGAGGAGCGGGATGAGTTTTTGGACGTTCCCCTCGCGGAGCGGCCCCGGCCCTACAGCTACTGCGGCTTCCGCAAATCCTTCTTGTGCGCGGAGCCGCCCGTGCCGCAGCCCCCCCGGACCCCCCCGAGCGCCCTGGAGGTGCGGCTGGACCGGCTGCCCACGCCCCGCTGGGCCCGGCTCACGGCAGAGGTGGGCAATTTCCCCCCCGCCCCCTCCCGCTCTCCAGGGGCTGGGGGGTCCTGGGCTGGCATCGCGAGAGGGGCCGTCACCGTGTCCTTCCCCCAGGAGGCGGAGAGGAACGCGCAGGAGCTGGTAGCGGAGGAGGAGCGGGTGAAGAGGAAAGCGGAGAAAAAAAAGCTGAAGAAGAAGGTGGGTGAGCCCTGGGGGGGTCACTGCCAGCCCCTGGCGTGCAGGCAGCTGCTGTCCCTGAGCCCTGGGGGTGCAGGGCCGGGGGGGGTTGGGAGGGCCTGCATTGCTATGATGGCTTCGTCTCTTCCCTTTACAGAAGCAAAAAGACCGGAAAAAACGGGAGAAACTGGGTCAAGAGCAGAAGAACAAGGAGAACACTGACCCAGTGAGTGACTTCTCCGACCCCCTCAAGCTGTCCTGGGGGTCCCCAGAGCTGGGGACTGGTCAGCACCACCTACACCAGCCACCCTTCTCCCTCCCTGTCCTTGCAGAGTCCCCCAGTCCCGAGTGGTCTCACAGGCACTGGCTCCCCCCAGGATGGTGCTGAGGAGGAGGGGGAGTGCACAGACCCCTCCCCACACCCTGAGAACTCCACAGCCCCACCAGAGGACACAGAGGGAGCAGAGGTGAGTGAGGCTCTCCCCAGGGGGCTGTGTGAGCACGGGGGGGGGTGTCTCTGGGCTCTGCCTGCCCACCCCCCTCCCCCCCAGGAGGAGCTGGACCTGAGCTGCACCTTCGTCTGCAAAGCGCGGGAGAAGGCGGGGGTTCGGCTGCCCACCCCGGGCAGGGAGCGGCCCCCCGGCACAGGGGACACAGAGCCGGGCAGGAGGGCACCGGAGAAGGGCAGTGGGGAGGGCCCTGCCCCCCCCCGGGTCCCCCAGCCCCCCGGCCCCAGTGCGGTGGAGCAGAGCCTGATGCTGGCAGGTCAGTGCAGGGACCCCCGGGGACGTGGCGGGGGTATGGGGGGGCTCTCCTGCTGTGCCAAGGGGGTTCTCCCTGCTGCTCTGGGGGTTCTGTGCGGGGGGGGCTCTCCCTGCTGCTCCCCAGCTCGTGGGGGGGCTGTGCCAGGGAGGTTCTCCCTCCTCAGGGTGGTCTGTGCTGGGGGGCTCCCTGCCCGGGGTGTTCTGGTCTGGGGGGTCTCTCTGTGCAGCTCCTCAGGTCCAGGGCAGCCCTGCCCTGGGGGTGCTGTGCAGAGCTCCTGGCTGGCACAGCTGCAGGCTGTTCCTAGGCCAGAGGACCCTGTCAGCTCCGTGCCCCCCATGCCCCCAGGCCGTGGGATCGCTGCAGCCCAGGCGGGCCGGCACGACGAGGCCGTTCGGGCCTTCAGTGCTGCCCTGAAGCTGAACCCCCGGGAGCACCGGTGAGTGGGGGGGTCCTGGGGGTCCTGGGTGTCCCAGGGTGGGGGGGCCGGGCAGCAGCGACCCCCCCTGTCCCCACAGGCTCCTGGGGAACCGCTCGTACTGCCTGGAGAAGCTGGGCCGATACGAGGAGGCGCTGGGGGACGCGGAGGCGGCGCTGGGGCTGCAACCGGGGTGGCCCAAGGGCTCCTTCCGCAAGGGCAAGGCCCTGCGGGGGCTGCAGGTACCCGGGGGGGGCTCCAGGGGCTGTGAGAGGGGCTGGGGGCTGAGGGCAGGGGGGCTGGAGGGGGCCTGGAGGGTGCCATGGCTGGGTGAGGGGCTGCAGCACACCAGGGGCGGCTTTCAGGAGGCTGTAGTGTGCCATGGGGTGCTATTGGGGCTCAGTTGGGGGCTGTGGGGTGCCAGTGGGGCTGGGTCAGGGCTGTGGGGATCTGGGGGAGCTCTGAGGTGCTATGGCTGCATGGGACAGGCTGAGGGTGCCAGAGTTGGGGAAGAGGATGAAGGAACCAGGTGTGAATTAGGGTCTGTGGGGTGCTAGGGCTTGGAGGACTGGGAAAGGGGCTGGGTGGAGGGCTGGCAGATGCCAGTGAGGCTGTGGGGTTTCCTGGGTTGCCATTTGGGCAGTGGGGTGCCCGTGGGGCTGGGTGGGGGGTTGTGGGGTGCTCTGGGGTGCCATTTGGGCAGTGGGGTGCCCATGGGGCCGGGCAGGGGGCTGTAGGTGCCCTGGGGTGCCATTTGGGCAGTGGGGTGCCCGTGGGGCTGGGTGGGGGGTTGTGGGGTGCTCTGGGGTGCCATTTGGGCAGTGGGGTGCCCATGGGGCCGGGCAGGGGGCTGTAGGTGCCCTGGGGTGCCATTTGGGCGGTGGGGTGCCCGTGGGGCCGGGCAGGGGGCTGTAGGTGCCCGCTGCCCCCAGCGCTACGCCGAGGCCGCGCGCACCTTCGAGGAGCTGCTGCTGCGGGATGGGGCCCACGCTGAGGCTGCTGCACAGCTGGAGGCCTGCCGGGCCCTGCTGCGGGTGAGACCCCCTTCCCCTGCCCCCCATCCCCTGTCCCCCACCCGCTGTGCCCCCCACACCTCAGCCCTGTCCCCCCACAGCAGCACAGCCGCCCCGGGGGGGTCCCCGTGTCCCCTTTCCTGCCTGAGACCAAGGAGCCGCCGCTTCTCCCCGGTAAGGGACCAGGGCTGGGGGGGCCCCGGGGGTGTCCCCGTGTGCCGGTGGGTGCTGACCCCCCTGGCCCCTCGGCAGGGGGGTGGGCGAGCGGGAGCTGCCAGCAGACAGGTGACACGAGTGGTGGTGGGGGGAGCACGGGAACCCCCACGAGAGACCAAGGACGGGGACCTGCCACGGCTGCCAGCCGCCTGACACTGCCACCGAGCCACCCTGCCAGGTACGGGGCTCCGGGGGGCTGGGGGGACCCAGAGCCCCAGTGACGTGGTGCTGGCTCTGGTGACACCGGGTGGCTCTCGGCAGGGACTGCTTCCCGCTCTGGGTGGGCAACGTCACCCCCCAGATCAGCGAGAAGGTGCTGCGCCGCACCTTCGGCCGGTGAGTGACCCCCGGGACCCAGGTACTGCCCCCCTGGGACCCCCGGCCCCCCAGCACAGCCCTGGTGTCCCCCAACCTTGTCTCTGTCCCCATTCCCTGGTGGTTCTGACCTGCAAGGGCAGCTTTGGGGGGGGTGTCTGTGGTGTACTTCCCCAGATTTGGTGGTATCTAAGCTTCCTCCAGCATTGGGGGTCTCTACTGCACTGCTTTGGGGTATTTGTAACTGTTTTCCTTCAGATTTGGAGATTTTTGATCCTCCTTCCTGTGGTTTTGAGGGTGTCTAGTACTCTCCCTCCATCTTGGAGGATTTTTCATGCTTTCCTGCCGAACACATTTGGGGGTGTCTAAGCCCCCTGCCGCATTTGAGGGTCTCTGACCCCCCACCCCTCTGGGTTGGGTATCTCTAACCCTCGCCCACCCCACGTTTGGGGGTCTGTGCCCCCCAGGTTCGGGGAGATCCACTCGGTGCGGATGCTCCCGGGCCGGCGCTGTGCCTTCATCAACTTCTGCGGGAAGGCAGCGGCGGAGGCGGCCTTTGGGGCCATGCAGGTGAGCTGGGGGGGCACAGGGGGTACCCCCGCCCTGGGACACCCCCCCCGGGACACCCCTGCCCTGGGACACTTCCCCCTGGGACACCCCCCCCGGGACACCCCCGCCCTGGGACACCCCCGCCCGCGGGGCCTGTCCCGGTGCCAGCTCCCCCCTGTCCCCAGGGTGCCACCGTGGAGGGCAGCGAGCTGGTGCTGCAGCTCAAGCACCCGTCCCACGCCACGCCAGCCCCCCTGCCCCGTGCCAGGGGGGGTCCTGCCCCCGGGGGGCTGCTCAGATGACCCTGCTCTGTCGGGGGGGCTGCCGGGGCCCCCCCCTGCACCTGCCTGTACTTGCCTGTACCTGCCTGTGCCTTGTCCCCACGCTGGGGGTGAGTGTCCCCTCTTCCTGCCTTGGGGGGGTCGGGGCCCCCCCGCAGCCCCTCGTGCCTGGTGGGGGTGGGCCCGGGCTGATCCCCGTGGCCCCTCAGGGATTTGTTTCCTATTTGGGTTTTATAATAAAACTGAGACTGTTGTCCTTCTCTCTGGCTTTTCCTTCCCTTGGATTGGTGCCTCCCCCCACCCCCCAGCCCTCCTTCCACCCTCCTCCCCTCTCTGCCCCCCCCCCAGTCCTGGACCCCACTATTCCAGCCCCCCACGTCCCCTTCCCATGTTGCCCCTCGCCCTCCCGTGTCCCTCCAGCCCCCCCCGGAATGTCACTTGCTGGTGACAGGAGCTTCAGGGTGGGGAGTGACAGGCGGGACATCAAATACAATTTGATTAATATGCAAATTGAGGGGGGGAGGGTCGGCCTCAGCCGGTAATTAATCACTGGTTAAAACAAATTAATGCCCGCGGCGGGAAGTGCTCGCCTGGAAAATGGGGGGATACAGAGTGGTCCCCGGGGGGGATCAGGGTTCCATAATAAGGTGTCGCCTTTATTGCAAATATTTACACCGGGGCCGATAGAAAATAAAATTAAAAAAAAAAAAAAAAAGAGACAAGAGAAAGATGAACAAAAAAAAATACCCAAAAATGGGTGCACCGAGGGGGCGGGGCCGGGCCGGGCTCGGCTCCGTTCGGGACCGAGGCGAGTGGAGCCGAACGGAGCAGTGTCGGCCCGGGCGGGGCCGAGCAGAACCGAGCGGGGCGAGTCGGTCCGAGCGGGCTCGGCTCAGTCCGCCACGTCGATCTCCTCCTCCGAGAGCTCGGCGGGCGCCGCGGTGCCGGTCCCGGCAGCCCCCGGGGGCTCGGGCAGCCCCGCCAGCTGCTGGAGGGCGGCGGGGGGCAGCGCCTGCAGCGAGGCCACGTCCGCCCGCAGCTCCTCCAGGTCCCGCTTGAGCTTGGCGCGGCGGTTCTGGAACCAGGTGATGACCTGGGCGGCGGAGAGCGCCAGCCGCGCCGCCAGCGCGTCCCGGTCCACCGGGGAGAGGTAGCGCTGCCGCCGGAACCGCTGCTCCAGCTCCCGCAGCTGCTGCGCCGTGAACGCGGTCCGGGACTTGCGACGCTTCCTGCAGGGAGGGCGCGGGCCCGGGGCGCCCGGCGGGGACGGACCTGCGGGGACAGCGGGGTCAGGGCACCGGCACCGGGCACGGGGAACGGCCCCGCAACCCGCGCCGGCACTGGGGAATAGCCCCGGGGCGCCCGCCAGGAAGTGCCTGCGGGGACAGCGGGGTCAGGGCACCGGCCCCGGGACCCGCACCGGGCACGGGAAACGGCCCCGAGGCGCCCGGTGGGGAAGGACGTACGAGGACAGCGTGTCGGGGCCCGGGACCCGCACCGGCACCGCCGAGCCCCGCAGAGCACGGCGGGGCCCGACCTGCGGGGACAGCGGGGTCAGGGCAAAGGCAGCGGGACCTGCACCGAGCAACGGGTAACGGCACGGGCGCCTGCACCGGGCCCGACCTCTGGGCATAGCAGTGTCAGGGCAGCGGCACCGGTAACGGCACCTGCACCGATCGCGCCGAGCCGCGACCGGCACGGCGGGCGGACCCCGGCTCCGCCGACTCCCGGTCGAACGGAGACGAACCGGCTCGGGTCGAGCCGGAAGCAGAAGAGCCGTGCCGTGCCGTGCCGTACGGAGCCGAGCCCAACAGAGCCGAGCAAACCAAACCACGCCCGGTGCCGGGAGTCGGGAATCGGTTCCACAGCGGCCTCGGCCGCGTCGAAGTCGCCACCGCTGCGCCCGTGGCTGAGCCACCCGTGTCCTGCCTGCGGCTGGTCCGGGAACAGAGCAGGGAGACGGGAGCGGAGCGAGGAGCCGGGAGCCCCCGGCGGAAACCGAGATCCTCCTCTCTACGATTCCAGGAGACTTGAGGCCGTGCTGCTCCCTGCATCCGATCCCGTCGCCGCTCTCGGCTCCGGTGCGGCCGCTGCTGCCGGTATCGATGTAGAGAGCACCCGGTGAGACGCGGATCGCGGCCCCGGCTACGGCTCAACGCCGCCAGCGGGGTCCCGGTAGCGGCCCGGGTCCCTCTCCTGCTCCCGCTCTCGGTCCCGTTCCATCCCTCCTCTGCCGGCGGCACCAACCCGCCTCTCGGTAACGCGGCTCCCGGGATCACCGTGCGTCCCCCGGTAACGGCGGTGACCCCCGCGGCCACCTATAGTGGGAGCTCCGCTCCTCGGGACCCCCGATCGTTCGGTACCAGAGCCCCGGGCCGTCTCGGCCGAGTCCCGCTTGAGTTGGGACTGTTACCGGTTCGTCCCGGTAACGGGCTTTACCGCGGTCACGAAACCCCATCGCTCCCGTCCGTCAGTCCGGTAACAGGACTTTCCCTTCGCTCTTGGAGTCCCGATCGACACCGTTTCTGTCCGTCCGTCCCGGCAACGGGGATTTACCCCCGCTCCAGGAGCCCTGATCGCTCCCGTGTCCGTCCATCCCTCGTAGCTGCGAAGAGGGATTTTCGTTCATCACGGAAGCCCCGGGGCGGTTCCGGCCGTGTCCGTGGGTCCGTCCCGGTAACGAGGTTTTTACCTGAGTTACCGGCACCTCCCTCTGTCCGTCGGTCCCGGCTCGTTCCGCCGTTCTCCGCTGCCAGTTTGCAATCGGGTTTTGTTAATTCCTAGATTCCCGCTCGGCCGTGTCCGTCTGTCCGGCCGGTACCGGGGCTTCACTCCGCTCTGGGAGGCCCGATCGCACCCGAGTCTGTCCGTCTGTCCAGTAGGCAACGGGGTTTTTTCGTTCTTTTTTTTTTTTTCCATTTCCGTGTCTGTCCGTCTGCCCGGCCGGTAACGGGGATCGCTCCTGTTTCGGTCCATCTGTTCGCCCGGTAACGGGATTTTTTCGGGTTTTTTTTTTCGATTCCGGCCGTGTCCGTCTGTCAGTCAGGTAACGGGCGTTTTTACCTTAATTCCCGGAGCTCCGATCGACCACATTTCTGTCCGTCCGTCCACCCCAGCAACGGGGATTTTTTTTCGCCCCCTTTTATATCAGCCTGTCTGCGGGATTTTTCGTTCGTTTATTCCGTTCCCGGCCGTGGCCGTCCATCTGATAACGGGGGCTTTACGTTAATTCCGGGCGCCTCGAGCCGTCTCCGTTCTCTCCATCTCTCCACACGGTAGTGGGTTGGTTTATTCGTTAATCACGGACCCCACTCTGTCTGTCCACCCTGTACGACGGTTCGTTAATTACCGGAGCGACGCTCCGTAATTAGGGAATTTCTTTCCTTTATCTACCGGAGCCCAGCTCTGCCCGTGTCCGTCTGTCTGACCGGTAACGGGGTTCGGTTACTCACGGGAGCGCTGCTCGGTCGATCCGTGTCCGTCTGTCCGAAGGATTTTTCGTTACCGGCGGGAGCCGCGTTGCGCCCACCCCTGTCCGTTGATCACCGGAACGCTGCTCTGCCGCGACTGTTCGTCTGTCCGTCCCGGTAACGGTTTTTCCCCCGTTAATTACTGAGATCCTCTCTATCCGTTTCGGTAAGGGTGTTTTTATTTTTCCGTTAATTACTGGAGCCCCTCTCGTTCTCCCCGAGTCGGTCTGTCCGTCCCGGTAACGGTTCTATTCATTCCGGGCGGCGCCGCGCTCTGCCTGTCCGTGTGTCTGTCCGTGTGAGGGATTTGCCGTTAATCCCGGAGCCCCGATCGGTCCGTCCGGGATTGTCTCGGTAAGAGCTTGGTTTTTCCGGTCAGTCCCAGAGTCCCGATCGGTCCGCCCGTGTCCGTCTGTCCATCCCAGTAGGGGTTTTTGTTCCTTCCCGGCGGCGCCGCGCTCTGTCTGTCGGTATCCGTTTGTCCGTCCACCCGGTGAGGCCGAGCCCGGGAGCGGCAGAGCCGGTTTGTCCCCATCCATAACGGTCGGTCGCACCCGCCGGTACCGGGCCGCTGCGGGAGGCCGAAACCGGGCCAGAGCCGCCGTCCCCGCCGGGGCTCGGGGCCCGCACCAGGTTTCCGTCGCGTCCTGGCCCGATCCGCCGCTCGGCCCCCGCGCTCGGTCACGGTCACGGTCACGGCCCGGCGGGGCTCATCCACCGCCCGGTCCCGTGGCTCCCGGTAAAGCTGTCGGCGCCGTCCCGGCCGGTGCTCCCGGAGCTCCGGTGCCTCGGTGCCGGAGGCGGCTCGCCGGGGCCGGGGCTCGCTCTGGCTCCGGGTGTCCGGTCTCGGGGCTCTTCCCTCCCTCCGGGCAGAGGCTGCCGCGTGTCCCCGCCGCGCCAGGCGAGCGCCGGCGGCTTCCCGGGCCTCCCGGCTGCGCTCGCCCCTTCGGGACACGGAGGAAACTTCCCGGGACCGGGGACGAGGGGCATCCCCAGCCTCCCCACGGCCTCCCCCGCCGCCCGCCGGCCCCGCCACCTGCCCGGTGCCCGCTGCCCAGTTCCCGGCGCCCGCCCCGGTCCCGGCGGAGCCCCCCCGCCCTGGTAGCCCCCCGGTCCCGGTACCTCCGGCTGCTTGCAGCATTCCCAGCTCCAGCCCCTGGAAGGTTTTACTGGCGAGTTCCTCCAGCGCCCAGAGCGGCGAGGCCGGGGCGCAGCCGCCGCCGCGGGGCCCCGCCGGGGCGGGGGGGGCGGCGGGACCGGTCCCAGTCCCGGGGGGGCTCCCGCCGCGGGGGCGTCCCAGGATGTCCTCGATGCCGAAAGGGGTCAGCGGTTTGGTGGTGTTGGCAGGGGGCGGGAGCCGGTCCAGGGGGCTTCGCCGATGGCCGCCGACCGCGGCGGGCAGAGGGGGGGAACCGGCCGCCTCCCCCGCCGAGGTCATGCCGGACCGGGACCCGCGCCGGGACGGGGACCCGCCGCCCCCCACCCCCCCCCAGCCCGCGATCCCCGTTCCACCGCCTTAAAGGCCCGGGATACCGGGAGGAGGAGGAGGAGGAGCCACCGACGCCCCCCCCGTCTAGGGGGGGGACCGACCCCTCTCCGCCACTACCGGGGCTCAGCCCCGCACCTCCCCCTTGTTGTCTCCCCCATTTTAACCCACCCTGGTGGGTCCCCTCTGTCCCCTCCGCTCCCTCCTCATCCTCATCGTGGCTCTTACCCTCACCCAAAAATTTATTGGCTCTTTTGCTCTAAAATGCCCCATAAAAGCTCCGGGGCAGCGGCTGGGAGTGATTAAGCCTTTTCGGGTGGGTTTTGGGTTTCAGAGCCATAAATCCCCCCTCCCTCCCCACATTCCCACTGCCCTTTCCCAGTACAAATAGCTCCGGGATTTCGGCCGCTCGTAAAAATCCCGGGATGCCGCACACGCAGGTGAGGCCCGGCTGGTGAAGCCGCGTCCGGATTATCCGGCGGGATAGGGGCTGGGGGATGCCGAATGGTCCCTCCGGGGGGGCGATTCGACATCCCCCAGCCCCAATCCCGCCGGGTGTCCCCATGGATCCGTCGCTGGGATCGGGGACACGGCGAGGTCACGGGGGTCAGGGCGGTAATGAACCTGCGGACGATGAGGGGGAGCCCGGTGGGAGCACACGGAGCCGGGTTTGGGGAGCAGGTGCAGGGGGATCCGGCAGCGCCGATGCCGGGATTATGGAAGTGGGGAAGGGGCGGGGGGGTATGTGTGTGGATTTTTCCAATCTTGCTGACAAAGGCAGAACGCGATCTCCCGGCTGGAAATCGGAGTTTGACAAATTCAACCTTGAAATTTCCCAGCAGCCGGAGCAATTAAAGGCTGGCGGGGGGGGGAGGGAGGGGGCTCGGTTTGGGAGAGGGACACGGGGCCCCTCGCACGGCGGCGTGCCGGGCACGGCGGCGTTTGCACGGATTCCTCGCACGCGGCTTTTGTCCTCCCCGCCGGGCGCGGGGCGATGGCGGAGCTGCCGTGGCTGCACGTGCCGCCAGCTCTCGCCGGGGGACGGAGCCCGTCCCGGGGTGCAGGAGAGCTGTGACCCCCACTCCCACCCCCCCAAGGGAGCTGCGGTTGTCCCGGGCTCGGCTGGACCCCCGCGCGCCCAATCCCTTCGGACAGTACTGCTGTAACGAGGCCCCAGGCTCCCGGGGTGCCGGGAATAGGGGTCACAGCCCTTTCTGGGGGTCCCAGCCCCATGGGGAGCCCCTGGGCTCTGTTTTGGTTTAACGCTCCAGGACACACACGAGAAATCGCTGCCCAGGGTGATTCCATGCCCTTGTGCCGATCGGGAGTTGCGGCCGCCCACCCCCTGAGGAAACCTTCCCCCCTCGGAACATTCTGGCTCCTCTGGGGCCGGCGGGACCTCGGCGGTCGAGTGCTGGGCTGGGAGCGCGGGAGTGGTCCCACCGGGCTGGGGCGCGGGTATCTGCAGGGACCCGGCAGATCTCCAGCAGTGGTGCTCGCCCTGATGGGGGGGATGTCATCTCCACCCCATCGTTCCCCCTCCCCACCTCCATCGCACCCACCCGTTGCTCCGCAGCACTTGGGGCGAATCCCTGCACTCAGGGCTGCTCCCAGATCGTGGCGCTGGCACCCCCAACCCTCCACTTGTGTCCCCCGAGGTGCTCCCCGAGGTGCTGCCGGGGCGGGCTGAGCCCCCCGCGCCTTGCCCGACCCCTCCGGCCCCTCCCGGCGGGGGAAGCGCCGGCTCCGGCTGTCGGGAACACAGGATAGGAAACGCTTTTCACCCCAAACCAGGCCACAGGGTGGGAACAAAACGAGCCCTCGGGGGTTATGCAGGAACACAGGAGCTTCCTGCGGAGCCGGGCGAGTGCCCGGCGCTGGCCGGGTGCCCGCGGCCAGAGGGGACGGTGACGGGCACGTCCACGGGATGGGACCGGGGGCACCCCAGGGCACTGCACCCGTGTGGCACTGACAGCTCCCACCCTGGGCTGTCCCTGGGAGGCCCTGGGGGTCTGGGACGTAGGGTCCCACCGCCTCCCAGACACTCACACCCCGTCCCCAGCTGCTGTGCTGTGCCCTGCACCCACCACGAGCCCACCGGGGCACGGGGGGGGGTGTTCACGCGGGTGTGTTCACGTGGGTGTGTTCACATGTACGTGTGTTCATGTATGTTTGTTTATATGCATTTTCACGTGTGTGTTCACGTGTGTGTGTGTTTATATGTGTTCACGTGTGTGTGCGTTCACATATGTGTGTGTTCACGTGTGTGTGTTTATGTGTGTTCACATATGTGTGTGTTCACGTGTGTGTGCTTATATGTGTTCACGTGTGTGTGTTCACATATGTGTGTGTTCACGTATGTGTGTGTTCACATGTGTGTTCACATATGTGTGTTCACATATGTGTGTGTTCACGTGTGTGTGTGTTCACGTGTGTGTGTGTTTATGTGTGTTCACGTGTGTTCACAGATGTGTGTGTTCACGTGTGTGTGTGTTTATATGTGTTCACGTGTGTTCACAGATGTGTGTGTTCACGTGTGTGTGTGTTTATATGTGTTCACGTGTGTTCACAGATGTGTGTGTTCACGTGTGTGTGTGTTTATATGTGTTCACGTGTGTTCACAGATGTGTGTGTTCACGTGTGTGTTTATATGTGTGTTCATG